AATGAATCTATGAAACAAACATAGCTGTTGAACTTCTTAGGCATCATCAAACTGAAAGAGACTGAAATTTGACCATATCCTTTACTACTCACAGCACACACACAAAATGATATTTCTTGGCAAGATTTTTCAGAAGTGTTTGTCAGCCTTCCTAAGGCTGAGAGAATGTGATTGGCCAAAGGCCACACAGCTGACTTTGTGCCTAAGGCAGGACTAAAACTCATTCTCCCAGGTCCTAATCTGGTGCCTTAACCATTTCACTAAGCTGGCTCTTGTAGTGTTGGCCTTAGATGGTATTGCTTTCTTATAAATACTTCTAATACTGGAAGATGAAGACAAACCAGTACTGTGGTTATTACCAAGGTAGAAGGCTAGCAAAAGGGATGAAAACTTTGCAGGAATATGGTAAACAACAGAAGAATCTATAAAGATTCTATAATCAACTATTCCAATAAATCTGGAGAATGACACAATGGTCAATTGATCTGCGTACTATTACCAAATAAAGGAGTCTTAACAGAGTGTGCAGATTATCACGCAACATCCTTAATTCCTTATGCAAGCAAAATAATGCTTAGGATCATCCGGCAGAGATACTAGATGGCTTTAAGAAAGGCTGAAAAACAAGAGACATCATTGCTGATGAATGCAATTCAATAAAGAATGAATTGAAAAAGCTAAAAGAATTCCAAAGAAGTCAGAATTTGCTTATAAAAAGGTCTTCAATTGTGTTGATGTCAAGCTGTGGAATGTATTTAGAAAAATGGGAATTCCAGAACATTTCATTGTCCTCATGCAAAATTTATACACAGGTTAGGAATCCTGTCTGGACTAAACATGATGAAACACACTGTCTATGGTTTAGTAAAGAACTGAAACAAAATTGTAAATGCTCCACTTATTTATACAACATTTATGCAGAATATATATAGAGGAAAACAAGACTGAAAGATGAGCATTGTTTAAAATTGGAGGAAGCGTAACCAATAACCTAAACTATGCCAATGATACTGATTTAACTGAAAATGCAAATGATATGCAAGCTTTAATAATAAAAGCCAAGGAGCATAGTGAAAAAAATGGATTAAGATTAAATATAAAAAAGCAAACAATTGCCAATGAAGATGCTGAACTGATTAATACAAAATCTCCTACCTGTGGATTGACTGCTACAATGAACCAGCAATCAACTTTCAGTTCTTTACATTGTAAGCCATTCAGTTACCTCAAACTGTGAGATGGGCAGCATATTAATAATAACAATTATTATTATTATTGAGTGCCTTACACCTTCTTTGGAGGAATTTGTCAGCTGTATGGTCCTCATTCATGTTTTCTCTTCTACCCTGATGTATGCATTCTGCCTGGGCTTTCAAAGTTGTTGCTTTAAACAGGTTCCATGTACTTGAAGGAAATTGGGCCTTACTAATTTTCCTCCCAGCTTTCTTTTAATCAGTTTCCTTTGTATCTTACCTGATTTCCAAAATTCTTCCTTCTCATAATAGTGAAGAAATAAAATTATGTAATCCAGGGGTATCAAATTCAATTTCATTGAGGGCCATATCAGAGTAATGCTTGACTGGGGGGGGGGGCAGGATGGGTGTGGCTAGGATGGGCATGGCCAACTCAACATCACTCATGTCGGGGACGCTTGTGGTGGCCAAGTATTAAGGCAGGACTTCCCTCAGACCCTCCCTCTCATTATAATCTCCTTCCTTCCTTCCTTCCCTTCCCTTCCCTTCCCTTCCCTTCCCTTTTCTTTTTCCTTCCTGATAGAGGCACCATGGGCTGGTCCTTTGCTGTTACCAGGGCGGCCCTGCAGGTCAGATCTAAGCACCCTGGGGGCCAGATGTGGCTCGCAGGCCTTGAGTTTGACATCCCTGATGTAACCAATCTGTAAATGTAATCAGATCCATTTTGATTCCGCTGGTGTGCAATAGCAGCCTGCTTTCTTTATCTGTGAAAGGCATTTTATTTCATTAGAAGGTTCCATGGAATTACTGTCCATAATGACAGCAAAAGCCCCACAAATGCTCAGTGCTCTATTAGGCTCTGTATGCTTGTCTTCAATTTTGCAGATAAAATAGAATTAATGTGTAGTCAAGTGAAAGAGAAAAAGGCAAACTTATTAACCTGAGAAAACACTTAAATAATGGCTGGACATCAGGAAAAAAAAAAGGAAGCTTGCAACCACAGGAGACTAAATGCATTTCAAGTGTAGGATAGACATGATGCAAATTTGCAAAATTTGATAGCTTTTGGGATTCATTTCATTTGGAAATAAAAATGAATTTAATTAATTAGTTGTACATTTCCACCCAATTACTTGCTTTTAGACTTGAATTCTAGCATGATTTTTGGCTTTACTTTATGATAACTATGATCTAACTGGTTTGGCATTGCAGTGTATAACCAGTATCAAAACGTGGACCAGAGCATCAGTTATCTATGTCTACGAGAGTTACTTGTACAGTGCATCAAAGGCATGGAACTACAAATCAATGTAAGTTTTTTTTAAGGAGTATCAAATATGGAGACCAAAGCTCAGCCCTCCTATTATTTTAAGAACCTGACTCTACCCAAATTTTGGAGTTTTTTTAAAAAAAATAGCCTAATGTAATTTCATTTTCTGTGCTAAAGGGAAAATTCAACTATAAATTGCATCAGGAATGTGATTTCCTTTGTGGGTCAAGAGCAGATTGAACATTAGGCATCTCCTTTTATATTGCTCCTTTTGGTAGGAGCAATATTTGTATGGAATTTATTTCATGTCTACTGCTACTATTATTACTACATCATCCTAGGTACTCAGAAAATTAATATATTTTACTTCTTTTAATGGATAAGCTCCCCAATATCATTTATAAGAGGGTTGTATTCAGTGTTGTATTCAGTCTCATGGAAGCTCTTGATGGATTTTAAATGAACTTTTGTTATAAAAGATATTTTATAATAATCTAAATAATAAACATATCACAACTATGTAAAATGCATGAAAAGTGGCCTTGGACTATAATAGATATTCTAGTTTGCAAAAATAAGAGCAAAGAATGCTCTTTAATGAATATATTTCCATATCTGTGAAAACTTTATGGAATACAGCTTATCATTGTTAATTTATTTCATTCAAGAATTACAATTGTTTATAATTGTGTATCTGTTTCAAACTAACAACTTTTCAACTTCAGCTTCATTCTATAAACAAAGAGGTAATCTGTCTCAGGTATTTATTTATTGGATTACTATTCAATATAACAAGATCCCCGATTCTAATTATCACTAGATTCTCTGACAGTATGGACACTAACTGTATCCCTTCCCCTTATAGTGAAGGGGGGGGGGGGGAAATTGTATTGCTCGCAAAATCTGTAGCCCATATTAACTATTGTTATTAATGTATTTCTTCCAAGCTCCAGGGATTTTGCCAACATAAAAATAGCGTCTATTCACATATCCAATTGTTTCGATGATGATACACATTTTGTTAAATATATTTTTCATTCATTTGTTTGCCCTCTCCAGCGTACATGAAAAGATAGAAGAAATGAAAAACATGCAGAGATATAAACAGCAGTCAGTTATATTTTCAGATATTCTGGAGATGGTAAATATGGAGTGTCTGAGGACAAATTAAATGACTATACTTAAACATATATTTATTTGCACTGTTCCTGAAAGTGTGCTGGACTGTAATAATAAAGTCTCTCCATGATGGACAGATGGATGTTTCTGAGATGTTGTATGAACATCTGATTCTTCTTAATGCATAATAATTCTTATTGCTCTTTATGAGGAGACATATCTGGAAATATACACACACACATATAAAATTCTGTGCAGTCTGTTTCCTTTCATGACAATTCAAAATAAATAGACTAAGTTTGTAAGGTAGTTATATGTATGTACAGAACCTAAGCTGCATATAGGGTCATTCTTTAACACTTCACCTGAAACACTGGTTAATAATAGATGAGAATAATAATTCCATCAGAATATTTGCGATATTATTCTTTAAATTTAGATCAATATACTAAATTTTCTAACAGTATCCTCTGTAAAAAGTAAATATCCTTGTGCTTTTAAAAAGTTATTTCTTATGATTGTGTTATATCAGGATACAGGACAAATGAAGATGTACTACTTGCATTTTATAGTTTCATAAAATGTCTGGGATCATAAGACCTTCTTTTCTACAGGATTGTTTGGTTAAGTATTGCAATAAGGCTATATTATATTTATCATCAGTATAACACTAATTAAAAGTAACCAGATATAAGTCCTTCATTTTTTCAAATATGGCAGTTCCAAAATATGAAGTGGCTTAGAGAGAGATTTTCACTTAGGAACTAAGGACCTGGATTTTTAGTAGTTGTGATGTTCCTTAATAAGAAAGTTTAGTTTGGAGTTCAAGTGTTCAGGGATACTGTCCATAGAACAATTATCAATTTTCTTTCAAGTGCTTTCTCAATACATATAAGCATAACTTTTCTGAAATGACAATGTGGCAATTCAAGTAACACATAATTCTTTAGGAACTTTTCTACTTCTTTAGGAACCAGGAAGATACAAATCTATTTCTATTGTCTGTATAAAGTATAAGGACGTTACAATCCTGAGGAAGGAAAATATGCAGAAAACTCCTGCAGAGATAATAAATCTAGCATGAACAGTTGTTTGCGTAACATATTTACCCATTATTAATCGATCCGTTTTCTGGGCTTATGCATTAATTAAAATAAGTGCCCAGGCTAGGTTCTCACAATATGCTAGACTACGTGTAACTATCCTTGCCTACCAGCTCATTTGTAGAAGTAGGCCTACCTCCAACTAAGTCTATCCTTCCGAGAAACATATGCTTAGCCCTGGGGAGAAAAGAGTATCCGATTGTCATTTTCCATCCTGAACTCCACGCAGAGCCAGTTCAAGCGTTTAATGCACTACCGAAGACCGGTCTTTGGAGGGCCGGGCGCACTCATGTGACCGCTCCGGCAGGCGGGCAGAAACAGCCGCCCCGAAGAGCGACGGCCTACCCGGGCCCGGCAAGCAACAGCAGCAGCGTTCCCGCTGTTGATTTTGTCGCTGCCGGGCCCGGCCGGGAGAGATCACCCCTCGATGGGGAGGCCCAGCAGCCCTCCGCAGGCCGAGATCCGATCTCCGCTGTGGGCGTTGCCGGAGGAACTGCTGCTGCTGATCTGCTCGTACCTGGACGCGAGGGCCTTGGGCCGCCTGGGCCAGACCTGTCGCCGCCTTTTCCGTTTCACTTGCCGTGATGTCCTGTGGAGGCGCCTCGGCCGTTTGTGCCTCAATGCAGGCTTCAGCGCACTGGGCGCCGACCTGTAAGCGTCTAGGCTGGGGAAGGCTGGTTGGGAAAAACAGGGCGTGCGGCCTAACAGGGCGTTGCTAAGGCCCGCCCGCTCGATAAGGGAGGAGGGCTGTGCTTGAAACGGCGTAGTCGCGGGGCGGAAGGAGGGGAAGATACTGCTTAAGGTCCTGGCTTTGCTTTGTGCAGGTGGGAGTTCTCAAGTCTGGGTTGGGTCGGGTCCCGTGCTGGCTATGAAGGAGCTTTGAATTCAGTTGCTCAAAAGGGAAACTTCCCGTTTTACGTTCCCTTGGAACATACTATCCGACTATATTGGATACGAGATTGCTGGTGACTTTTATCACTCCGGTTTTTTTTAATATTTCCCCTGCCCTGAGTTCGAATTAGAACCATCATTAAGGCAAATCCGAGATTACTGATTTCAGGACAAGTTTAGTTGGCTCACTTTAGAGTGAGTCCAGGGAATAAACCGTGGCAGTTCATTTTGAGGGTATACCCTGTTTTTACATACCTCTAAACAAGATGGGGATGGCATTGTTTACTTTACCCAGTTATTTGTGAGTGAAGCTGGGATTTGCTTTTTTTAAAAAACCCTAAAAACGTTGTTTTACGAATTCTGCGGTGTTCGTATATTTTTCCAATCCGAATAATTTTAGGCTGCCCAACTGGTTCTTTAGAAGGTGTGCACAAGTTATTTGAACCAATAGTTATATTAATTTTGAAGCCTAAAAATGTTTTTTATTGTGTTAGAATGTGAGTTTCCATAGGTCTGCGGGGTTATGTGAATTTGTAAAGTTTTTAGATCGTGAGGTGAATGAAACTAATAAATCTGCATTTGTTTCAACATGTCTGAGACCATTGATGAACAGAACAAGTATAGTAGTAGCAGTGAAGGTGCTTTCTGACCTTTAGTATGACAATCACAGATACAGCATTTCTGAATTATGTTAATCTAGAAAGGAAAAAAATGGCATGTCTTCCCTGATCAGTTCAAAACTGACAATGGTTTGTCATTGCCTGCTTTCTAGGGCTGAACAAGAGCAACTGGCCCAAAGTAACCCAAAGTAACCTGCCTAAGGGAGGGTTAGAACTCACAGCTCTATCCTCATACTTAACAACTATACCATATTGGCTTGCTGTTGTTAAATTGGTAGTATTTAAATGTTTCATGGAGTAGCTGGATGCTAAAACTACTATTAACATTCTAATCAATTAACTGTAAAACAAGTTTATCAGTAATAGCATTAAAGAAAAATTGTAGTTAATATTGGAGGAACCATAATTTGATGGTTGAATATGCAGAAGGTCCAAGTTTAATCCTTAACCTTTCAGTACATGATCTGAGCATAGGGATTGTTCAGTAGTGGGAAAAGCCCTGGGATGGGGCCTACACTAGGCCTTCTAGGGCCTCGTCCACCCCTGAGGCACCATCTAGGCCCCTTAATGATCCATGTGTTTGCTTAACAGTCAGATCAGGTGCAGCATACAGTCTGGGGCTGTTAAGCAAGGCGATCTTGTTTAATGGCCATTACCATTTGTGATTGTAATGTGGAGGCTCCATTACAGTTGTAAATTTAGGACTTCCTATATATACATTTTCGAAGGTATATTAATAGTTCCTATTTGATTTATTATATTGCTCCCCATAGTCCACAAAGAAAAACAATCTAGTTTGCTTTTAGGCTATTACAAAATCTGTTTTGGGGAAACATAATTTTCTAACAGCTAAACAAATTGTTCAGTTTCTTCACCTCTTGCTACCACTACTTATATCTCTTCTTATTTGGTGCCCGCTACATATGTTGCAACTACTTTGGGAAATCCCACAATTATGATATTACCAGTTGCAAATAGACATATTATTTAATATACCGATATAATGTAATGTACTTTATTTTGGATTACCATACATATGAATTTAGTCATTGTAAGCTCGTGGTTTTTTGCTTCACAAACATGTCATGGTTTAACTGTAGTTAAAACAAACTTAGGTTTAACTTCATGGCCTAGATTGTAGCTTAGCCAAGTCTTAATCAGTTTCATCTGTTTCAGGCTGTATTCTTATTCACTGAAATGGAGATTAGAGTTGATTATAATAGATTGTAGGAGAATTATACATTATTATTAAAACCCTCAAGCAAAGTCATTGGAGTACAAATAGGATAAATAATGAATACATTATTAAAAATGCACATTGCTAATCAATCATTATATGACACTTAGAATTATATGCCGTTTAGAATGACAGCATGCGATAAGATACTTCTTTCCCATAGGGTTAGTGTGATGTTTTAGGGTGTAGACAATGTAACATATTCATGTATAGCTTTATTCCTATAAGCATTCTAGTAACCTGAAATAAATATAGACTTGTTTATTGGGTTAATAGTACCAATATATGATGGAGATAATGTTAGCTAATAAATGCTGTTTGAAGTTACATATTGAATGAAGTGAATGAATATGTAAGGCTCAGAAATGTCAGGTTAAAATATAACGGGAGAAAAAAACGCAGAATAGTTAATATGAAAGATGCTACATTGTAGTAGTTGATCATCATTATAACAACTTATTTTACATCTATGGTTAAAGCTTATCTGTTTGAGTCTTATAATTTAATGGATTTTAACTTTTAAGTTTACAAGCATTCTTGGAGAGACCATTCCCATGAATACGCAACATACCTATAAACTACTATGTCAGTCACTATTTTTCTCCCAATAGTTTTTGCTCAGTTACTTTATTCATCTGCCATATCACCTAGATTGGAGTTCAGACATTTCTTCTGAAGGTGAAATATCAAAATACAACTGTCAGACTCCCAAATGGAAACATTTGCCTTGAGTATGTTGACATTTAAAATCTTTCATGGCTTGGGTCAGAAGTAACTAAATGACTACCTAGCAATTTTCTATGTTGCCACATATAGAAATAACCATTTCAGAGACTGTATGTATGCTGACCCTGTAGTAGTCTCCCTAGATAAGATATTCTATAGTCATCTGACTTTGATACCCATCAGAGATTTTTCCAAACTACTGTACATATGTTCTTTTTATAAATTTGTGTCTTTTTGTGTGTTTCTCAGTCATGGAGCATATAGTTGAAGGGCAAAATGTAAATAGTCATAAAATAAAATAACTCCTTTAAGGAGGGGACATATTTTTCAATTGATTCTCTGGTATCTATGTGACCAGGAGAAGACTTTTAGGTGAAATAAATCTATATGTTTTGTGTAAAGCTGATCCCATGCAGAGGAATGCAGTCAAATTATAATGGTGACAAAGTGCCGGAAAAGGGAGTGGAACTGAAAAGTAAGAATAATTGAGCCACAGGCAGTGGGGAAAGAGCTGGGAATACTGGTTTGGCCAGGCCTCAGGGCCAGGTTATACATTCTCCCATGCATTAACAGCCACAAGAGATCTTTGTTTAAAGGGGGATTTCCCCCCCCCCATCTTCTGGGCACTTTGTCATTTTTGAAACAATAGTAGTGCTTGGGAAAAGAGGTAAGAAGGATAACTGTAATTTTTCTACAGTGTCATTTAGTGGTCTTTCATGTGTCGTAGTTACAAATGTGGTCTTAACTGAATTCACAAATAAACCCTTAGTCATTAGAATATATCAACTCATCCTTTAGTAATAACAATAATAAACTATTCAATGATTATCTGATTTAACAAAGCAAGCCAAACACACAGACGTGCAGACACAAATCCAGAATACACTTATTATGAATTAAGCCCAATAAGCCCAATTGAACGTAGGATATAAATATGATCACACAGCCTATGCCACTTATTTTATGTCAAACAAATTTTCAACACAGTGGAAAGGGGTTCATTGTTAAACAGGTTGGAGATGACATAAAAAAAATCTCAAGGCCATGAAAATTAACATACAACTTTCACTGTTTTGAATTGGCATGTTTAAAAAAATACGCTATGAAATAAATATGATTTTAGTTGTCTTAAGACTTACCACCCAGCGAGCAATGCTTAATGTCCCTTTAATTCTAACATAGCCTTATTGAGACACAAAAAGAAAACTGTTTAAAAGCACCACTTTTTGTGTGTGTTTCTATTGTTTTAAATGTATTATTCATGATTTTTGAGGTCTGTCCAGTGATGCATGAAAAGAGCTTTTTCTTTGTTATCCCTCACAGCTAATGGGAAGTTAGAGATCTTCAGTTCAGCGTCATGTTTGACGGATGGAAAATCTCCAATTGCAGCCTTTTTGTTTGTTTATTTGGCAGCAGAGCCTAGTTCATGTTTCCACTCCTACTTGTTTACTTATTTACATACTTCTATGATTATTTCTGTGATTGTGTAGAGCAGGACTAGTTCTAGTATTGAATTTCCAGTTTAATAAAGAATGAAATATGTCACAGAAAACTGCTATGTATCTCTCTGCTTTAAAGTAAATCTGTGATGGACAAGGATAGATGAATTATGTTGAGCTATAAATGCTTACATTTTGTGTTGTACTTTGTAATGGCCTTGGGAAGCAAGCTTACTTAGGGTAGTGGCCTTGAAAAAGAAAGTATTAGCCACTGATATTCACTGTTGCAATCTTGTTTTAAAGGGTAAAACTAGACCATGAGTAATAGAAAGTAGATTTTTGTATAAAAATTTGTACAGAAATGTTGCATGCAGAGGTGAAGAATTGGTCTAGATTAATATTACTTTTGCTAGACTTGCCATAAAGATTCTAAAGTTACATATAATGATACGGACTCTCTCCCCTTCAGACTTACTGTATCATGGAAAATCTGAGAATTTTGGTTGAGTTCCTGGAAGGAAATATTTAGAATGATAGTGAAAAATATGTACAAGGAAAGCCTGGAATGTCAACATATTTGTCAGTGGATCAACATATGACAAAATGAGCATTATTGGACAAATATAAGTCATTATTACAAGTAATTTTGAGGCCAAAATTTAACAATAAGGATGTCCAGAATAATAGGAGAGGAAAGCGTAAAGTAAGGGTAATGAACGATGGAACATGCAGAAACACCTGCTTAAACTAGACTGTTGAAGTTGACTGTAGCTAATTAGCCTGAACTCACCTTTCTAGCTTCATGTGAACAATATCCTTTCAAATTTGTGTTAATAATAAACAGCTACAATAACTCTAGTTTTGCAGCTTGCCGGGAATTTGAGGGGTCGGTGACCAAGAGCTTGGTGAAAGAATGCACAAAGCCTTGATAAAAACATTTCTGAAGGTTATTCTCTCACTCTTATATATGCTTTTAAAAGTAGTTTGATTTCATGCAGAAGATTTAGAGCAGGGTTGTCAAACTTGGGGTCCGCGGGCCGGATACGCCACATGCTGGCCACACCCACCCCTGTTTTAGCAACGGGGAAAAAAGTTGCAATACGTCACGTGATGATAGTGTGTCATCCCGACTTTGACACCCCCAATTTAGGGAATGCTCATTCTTTACTTTGTTAGTCCATCAAGTACTAAATTTAAACTCTGACCTCTTGATAGTGCTGGTTAAACAAAACCTCCTTGATGTGTGACTGATTTTTTTCATTTTTCATTTAAAAATAAAATGCTGTTTTCCTTCCCTCTGTACTCTTTTGGGCAAGTCCTGTTTGCTCTGAACCAGTTTATAGCTTTGAGCTATAGTTACAAATGTATTCCTCTGCATGAGGATTCATTGTGAACCACATGCTTTCAAATGAAAATAAATTGTAAGCAGTGACTTGGAAAACAGGAATGAGAAATGACCAGGAAAAAAAGGTCTTAAGTTTAATATTGACCAGAAAAAGAAGTTGCCAGTTTATTAAGAAAATAATATTAAGAAAAAGAAGTTGCCAGTATATTGACCAGAAAAAGAAGTTGCCAGTTTATAATAGCCAGTTTATTAAGTGGACCCCTCCCATATATAACCATATATAACAATTTTAAGCACTAATAAGACACATTCTTTTTCAAATTCATATTTAAAACAATTTTAAATAAAGATACATCCCAGCTTCCTAAAATGGTGCACCAGAGTGTCAAAAGCATATGATAACTATGGGCAGAAATATTGTTCATTCACATTTCTAAATTAATGGAAAATAATGAGATGCATATACCAAAATCTGCTAAATTGCTGGAAGTATGTACTGTACAGTCGGTGTAATGTGTTAGAAAATTTCTATCTGGAAAATTTCAAAGAGTTTAGTTGCTTGTATACTAGGACTGCAAGTGTATTCTATTACAGTAAAGTAGATTACATTGTTTTTCTTTTCCTTTAAAAACTGGAACTGTAATAAAATCACCATGAGGTATTTAGGCCGCACGATAATTTTCATGGAGTCCTATCAGGCCCTGACTTTAGATTGTCTTTTCTTCCCACAGAGCGTTAGGAGTCCCAGTAAAAGAAAGGGTCAAAGTTTCTCAGAATTGGAGGCTTGGTCGCTGTCGAAGAATTCCACTCCTCAGATGGAAACGCAAGCAAGTGATTCCTTTTCTTTCCTCACCCTACTATCTACAGCTAGAGTTACCTTTCTTTGGAATTCATCCCATTTTTGGCCTCTATTGGGCTGTTAAGTTGAATTTGGACATTTTGCAATTGCTTATTGTAAGGCTCTGCTAGCTTATATCACTAATATTTTTCTAATATTCCAGTTCTCAATACATCCTTAGTTTTATGCTATCATTTTCCTGTTACCTAAATGCAGACAGTGGTGATTATTAATTTTAAATAGGACTGAGTAAAGGCTAGTAAGAAAATAGCCTCTTTCATTACTTCTTGCTTCCAAGAAAGGTAAAGATTTTTCCACTACAACAAATAGATGGATGGATGGATAGAAGGATAGATAGCGAAAGAAAGAAAGAAAGAATTTCAGGTAATAACAGACTTCCACAAATAATAAGACAATATTTTCTGTTTCCCCCAAAATAGGTATTTACTATTATCTGTAAATTAGGTTATCTTTTGTGTGAATCTGTGTTGGGGCTTGAAAAAATTCCATTTGCTACTTAACAATTATTCAGCTTTAAACTCATACAGGATATATTATGTATATCTATGTGTGTTTGTGTGTCTGTGTGTATATTTGTATGCCTCCGTATCTGTATTATCTTAATGCAAACATTATAGTATTAACCTAAATTGGCAAATGTATCCTTCATTACCATTTTTTCACATTTTTGGTAGTTGTATATATTTTTTTCTGCTGGAGCAATCTCCCATAATGCCCCTAATCATGTTTTGTAATAACAAAGCTGGCAGTTAGCATCAAGAAATGAACAATTCTTTAAATTGTGTTTGTTAATATAGCATAGGAAATTGAGCAATGAATCAGCAGCAGGAAAACACTATTAACTGATTTTAACTATTTCTTTCAAAACTTTCAACCAAAAGTCTTGGATATTGATTGACCATTGCCTCAAAAGACAATAATATAAACCATTTTGTCTGTAACCTTGACAAAACACTCTGGAAAAATTAGAATTTATAAGATTCAATTTTAATAAATTGTAGTGCTGCTCATGAATTATCTTCTTGGTAAGTCAATTCTTGGTAATTTGATGAATTGATTGAAAATGAATTCTGTGCTGTAAAGGGAACAGTGAACTTCATCAAGTTCAAATCCCAAATCTTCACAAAGTTTTATTAATATTCCAAGAGAAACTAGTATGCTTAGGGTAAAAGTCTTATATAATGATAATGACTTTCCCTTGTTATTAAATGAAGTAGATATGAACCATTAAATGCTATAAATAATCTTAATTGATGAGATCTATATATTTTAAAAGGAACAATTAAACTGGTCCAGACCATTTTGCGACTTGTTAGGTTGGTATATTATTTCTTTTTTAGATTACTTTCCACTTCCTATAATGAACCACTTTGTTGCTTTTAATTTTTCTTGCAATATTTGCCTTTATATAGAAGTCTTCTCTGTCACAATATTTTCCAGTATAGTTTTTTCTGCTTGTTTTCACATCTTTTGTATGGAAAAGCTCTCTTGCCTACCGTATTCACTGCTCTCTTTATAGCATAGAATATTTTGTTTTAAGTTTGCAAAATAGAAGCATGAATACACTCCTAAAAAGGAGGTTTCTTCTTAATTTGAGTTGATTTTATTGGGATTAATACAAAATACAGCATGAATGCTTTAAGAAAGGACAAATTTGAAGTTCTAAAACTATAAAGTGCTAATTTAGGATTTCGTTTCACTTGCATTTGAAATCAAACTGATTTTATGTACACCATTCAGACTAACAGCTAGATTGAATATCAAGTCTCATTCAGATGTTGTACTTTACCAATGTTATGGTATGGTTTTAGATAGAAAATGCATTTAAAGATCTATTAGTTGCATAGCAGATTACAAATATGATATATATAACGTTTGCATTCATTTTTCTACATTATATTTTTTGTATTTGGTATGAATAAATACTACATGAAACCATTACCAAGTGGAAATTGACTGATTTATTTATTTATTAAACACGTATATACGGTTACCCCAATCACACACACTGATTTCTATTTAAAATATTTTCTTCTCCAGTTTAATGCCCTGGATGCAACTAGATGGTGATTATCTCTATCTATCCCAAGCAGAAGACATCCACCTTTATTGGCTCCACCCTAAAGATACCAATTTGTTATGGTATCCTCAGACCGTTTTTTCTGGTCACCGGGAGGATGTGTGCCGTTTTGTAGTTGATAATGGCCATGTTATCAGTGGAGGAGGGTAAGTTCCTTGTTGAAGAGAAACTGGAGGAGAATGAAGATTGTTGAGTGATTAGCATTGATATATAGATGAACTAGAACAGGAAGAAGTGACTTTCAGAACACCTGAATTGTGTGATTGTTATGAAGAGAGCTTTATAGTAGCGAGCTATGTACTGTAGTTCCTTGCCTCTTCCTGTTACACCAACATTCAAATAATTGTACCAATAAATAAGATGTGTATGGAATATATAATACTGAAATAAAGGAAGATTCTGAATTTTATTGAATAGGTATATAAATAATCTGATTTTCTCTGTGCAAAATAGAAATTGAGTTTGCATAATAATGCAGTAATCTTTATTCTTTGAAAATTTGTCATCAAATGTGTCAAACTATATCTGTATAGGCTGGTAATTTGCATGAAATTAAAACTGTAGACCTGATTTTTAGAAAGAATATATACCCTGTGAAAGGTATATTTTAAGATCAATTTGTAGACATCTTTTTGTATACAGAATTTATTAGCATTTTAAATATATACTGAACAATATGTTATTAAACTTGCATACTCCTGATATCTCTACTGTAATCCCAGCTAGAGCCCGAAGAACTATTAATTCCCCTTTCTGCTGTAATTTTGTGCATATCTAGTAACTGCAGTCTAGAATAATTTAAAGCAGAATCAAATAAATTGGCTTACTTATAGAATAACAGGTCCCTCATCTGGATTTGCGCTTCATCATATGCTACAGTATTACATCTGTATGATCTTATCTGAGATGGTAATTTTCTTGCTTGTGATTTTATTTTTTAGAGATGGGAATATTGCCTTCCATAAACTTAATGGTTCCTTCAGTTTTAAGATCCTTGGGCATCAACAGGAAGTGAACTGTGTGGATTGCCAAGAGTCTATCATTGTGAGTGGTTCTCGAGACAGAACAGCAAAGGTGGGCACATCCATTATACTGTATATTTGTGGTATCAGGTCAATGTACATAAAGACAGTTGATGACTGCGACTAATATGTACTTCTTATATTTAACTTTGCAAACAAATAAAAACCCAATGCCAAAGTCCTGCTAACTCCTAGTCCTTGGATAAAGGCACCAACTGTTTAGAAACCCAGCACAGAACAGAATATTTTATTTGTTTCTCTTCCTTAAATTTCCTAAAGATGGGACAAAAATAATCAAAAATCAAAAACAGATTGGGAAACCTCCAGTTTGAAGTGTGTGCATCTATTTTATGTGTGAGAGCAACATTGTAGTACATTTATTAACAGGAAATATCTAGCTTGTTTTTTTAAAATAGTATTTTCCCAACTAAAAGAAAAGTACTGGATCAAAATGGCAATGTAATCATTTTCTTTAAGTATGAATGTATTTCTTAACTGTGACACTTAACTGTGACACTCATAATATGTTACAACATCTACAGCATATCCCTTAAGTGATTTGTATAGTCCTAAAGCTTTGAGAACATATGATGTTTTAGGCCTCTGCAATGGTGAAACAATGGAGGGGAGCAAAAAACAAGAGGAAGAGTTGCATAACATTTTCTTCATTTTTTAAAATTTCCTTCTTTCTATTTCTCCTCCCAATGCATTGAGATAATTATTTTTAGAACCAGGATTTATTTTTATCATTTCCTATATATAGATCAGAAATAATTTCTGCATTTACTGAAAAACAGTTCTGTGTAATTTGAAAGTTTCTGTATTTGTCTCCAGAAGCTGTTGTAAAAAGCATAGTTAAATATGTGTTACTGTTACAGCATTCATATGATATGAAATGGGACAGTAACCCAAACCATATAACCATATTTCTGGAACTTGTCTCAAGACAGCATACTTTAAAATGGGCCATTTTCTATTCGCAGTTCATCTTGGAGGATTTTACTGACTTAACAGAACTGTATAAAAGCATACCCAGTGTTCATGAGAAGATAGATAACTATTTAATTATGATGGATAATCCACCATGCAGAATTCTGTAGCATCCAGTGTGCTTGCTCTGTTACTCTGAAGTTGAAGGCATCCCATGACCTTGGGGGCATTTTGAAAGTCATAGAGAATTTTCCTTTAATTGTCTTCATTGTTTTTTTTTTCAAGGCAGAAATGGAATCTGGCTCAACTAACACTCTTCAAGCCTGATCCTTATGAGCAGAGAATTGCTTTTATTTTTACCCTGACATTTTCCTTGTGTTAACTCCTAACTTGAAGGGAATCCCTATTAGGTCCCCTAATGGGAGCTGTAAGTGCATTGGGTGCTTTGGAAGGATAGTGAGTGTTGATTAGGGTTGAGCTTTGAGTAGCTGCTAATGCACATTCCACATTGATAGGCACCAGATAGCATGCTCCTAGCAATATTTTTAACCTCGATGAGATAGGGATGCATTAAAAGAGCTAAATTTTTTCTGCTGCTTTTGCTGACATTAGGTGCCAAATTCCTCCCTGACACTGAATAGCCTGCAATCCTAAGCATTATCAATGTCAACAAACAAACACAAATAATATGCCAACATTGAATACCTCTAAGATTTTGAATGGGGGGGGGGAGGATAAATGGAGTGAGGAAAAGATCTTAGCATGTGAAAAGTAGAATATCAATTTTGGAGGGTGCAGAGAAATTTTGGAATTTGAAACAAGTTCTGCAATGCAGATTTAATCTACTCTGTACCTCAATACCTGTTTTTTGTAAAATCATTCACACACCGTTTTAGACTGGGAAATAATATATAATGTGGTACAATTACTATTAAGTGTATAGCATTCTATTATTTCATTGCTATAAACAAAGTTATTCTCCCAAAATCTTGTAACTAAAATAATAGAATGGAGGTTTTACATTAATTTAAAAATGTGTTCAAAGTATCTCATTGGGAGGAATATTCTTTTTGAACACAAAATACATCCATCTTATTATGCATCATTCATTCTTTTTCTCTCTTCAGATTTGGTCCTTGTTATCGGGCAGGGCTGGGCAGTGTCTACATACAATACAGACAGAAGACCGGGTCTGGTCTATTGCTATTAGTCCATTATTAAGGTAACAAAAAGGACATTGAAAAATCTCTCTTCAGTATATGTATACCTCACATCCAATGTAATGTTTTTTGTTCATAACATTGCCTATCCTACAATAAGTAGAAGTTTAAAATATTGTGCCATAATAGAATCGATTTTATGATTCAGAAGCCTTATTTTACAGTTACTTGTGGAGAAAAAGATGTGAGTGGCTTGAACAGTATTCCAGTTGTATATATTTTTCCCCACTGAACTGAACCCTAAGATTTGAGAAATTGAAAGTTTTGATTTATTTTTTATTTATTTCATTTGAGATGGGGGTGAGAATAAACCTTGAAATAGTATGCAGTAGTTGTTTAATAAATGACCAAGCAGTCAGTTCTGCTTCTTACTTGAAATTACAAAATCAGCTTTCGTTTCAGCCTTTTCCCCAAAACCTTACTATATAGCCATTCAACGTAAGGAGTTGGTTCTCTTAATAATAGCAAATCTAACCTTCATATAATACATATAAGAGCTGTACATATTCAGAATAATTTATAAAATAAGATTAAATATGGGAAAACTATTAATACTTAGTATTGTACTCTGTCTCTCCCCCCCCCCCCATTATTGAACTATCTGACTCGCTTGCACAATGCATTACATCTTCACAATTTCATGGTCCTTGTGCATCTTTTCTTTTACTTCCCAATATTTTTTAGATCACTTCAATTAAGTTTGTTTATTTGTTGATGTTTATGAGTAGTATTGGATTTGCTTTAGCCAGTAATCTGATTCCTGGTAACTATTTCTAAATGATTTATGGATAAGGAAGTTGTGATTTTCTTCTGCTTTGAAGAAGTGGTGTGGCTCACCAGGCTTCTTTTAGAAGGTAAAGGTTCTATATATACCTGCAACAGTGAATAATCATACAAATGTTTTATTTTCGTTTCTGCATATTTTGATGTGAGCACACATTCTAATTGAATAAAAAGCGCAGTCTCACTTCATTTTCAAAATTCCAGCATTATTCTTATAGCTGATGTTCCCATTATAAGCACTAGTTTGAAAACACACCTTTCAAGCTCTTTCTATTTCTTCCACAATTATGATGCTATGCATTCTATAACACTTAATTCTTGTATTACGGATGCATGAAGTACAGTTCTGTATTCAATATGTCCCCATATGCAATGGGTCTTTGGAAATGGGATCTGCATGTATCAATTCTAATTGGTATCGCATTTCTATTACAATGTACTGTACTGTCCAAATATTGGATTATTTAAAATACAAATACAGAGCCTTGCTAAGAAGATGAAAGTCAAAACTAGCATGAAATGAAAAATTGCATTTGTACTACTTGACCTTAGAATATTGCGATACTAAGTATCACATTACTAATAAATATCAGTATTAATTACAATAGCCTCTAATAAACTTCAGTATTAATTGCAATAGCCTCTGTGTATATATTTTGTATTCTGTATTTCTTAAACTGACAGTATTACTGTTGAACAGTGTCCCTTCTAATTTCTAATGCTATGTGAGAAAAAAATAGTTTTGTGCAACTTGTCTAAATAATTTTTGCTTCTCAAGCTGAGAACATGACTAAATTGCAAATACATGAAATAACAATTGTTGAAGTCTTCACATATTTCTTAGTTAAAATATAGGAACTGAAAATATAATAATTTGCCACATGCACAGGTAAAAGTTGTTCCACCAAGTCATTTTTGATTCCTGGCAACTGCCTCCAGCATTGTTAGAAGTGGTTTGCCATTGCTTCCCTTCTAGGCCTCAGAGGGAATGACTAGCCCAAAGTCATCCAAATTGAACTTGTGCAGAACCAGAACTCACAATCTTCTAGTTTCTAGCCTTATGCTATAACCACTACACCAAAATATCTCTATACATACTTGCTTATAACCTGCTAGTAAAAACCTGCTAGTTACTGATAGCTATAATCAGTATTGTGCAAGTACTTACAATTGTTTTTTTTCCCTTTTTGGAATTTGATATTGTAATGAAAGAAAAAATAGAAAAAAGAAAGACATTATGCAAAAAGATTTTACATAGCTCCTTCTTTTTCATTATTTCCCCATTTTTCCTTCTTTGAATGTATTCTGAACTCACCGAAACTTTATTAATTAAATTGAAATGTTTATACAGTTAAATGATCCCAGACCTTCTTCAGCCCAAAACTCAATAGATATTAAATAAATCTTTTTGGGGGAGAGGAAGGATACAATAATTCAGTAACAGCATAATAGAGTTGGAAGGGACCTTGGAGGTCTTATAGTCCAGCCCCCTGCTCAAACAGGACATTCAACTTGTTTTGGAGGGAGGCAGGAAATGAATGCCTCTTTTGTGCATTGGAAGCTGTGTGGTATGGAGCTGGTTGACTATAAGACTGGGGAAGGACTACCTGCCTGCTGTGCCAGGGAAAAAAGGCCAAGCTTGCCACATGCCTTACTCGAGGAGGGAAGGTTGCTTACTGACTCTGTGGCATAGACCTAATGAATTTGCCTGCCACATTGCCCGTCACATGGTGTTTCCACTCTGTGCACTGCTGCAGTGTCACGTGATAGTCGCTATTGCTGTTAGGATGAGATGGCAAGCTTGTGCAGGACTCCTCACAAGTTGTGAGCTCAAGAGTTTTATATGGCTACATTTATTTAAACTTAATTTTGTGTTCACTTAATGTGACTCATAGAAGTCCTTTCTCTTTGGAAAAATAAGAGGCAGCTGGAGTTTACAGTCAGAGATATACAGGAATGGCAGGTTTTAAGAAGGAGCTCATAAATTTGTGAAACTGATCAGTTGCATTTGTTTGGCAAAATGGGTGAGGCTGGACTTTTTATGCTAAGTTGTATGCTTGCTTGTTTGTTGAGCATATGGACTTCGGTGGGGGGGGGGTGCCTTATAGTTGGAGACTGATTCCCTGGTTAGATGATCAATCAATAGCTTAGTCCCAGGGAACACAGAGGCAGAAAGAGGAGAGGTAATTGGGATCTTGTGATCAAGAAAGCAAATTAGGACAAGGGTTTTAAAATGTAATTTATTTATTTGTTTTGCAAAGGAGTTAGTTGGGGCAGAAGAGTGGGGAGGAATGATTTTCTTCTGACACTAAGCATCAAGGAGTGGAGGACACAATTGCAAAATTAGTAAAAATATCATGTAGGGGCTGTCATTAAGATTAGAATTCCTAAAGAGTAAGCAAATCAAGATAATAATAATACCTTGGAGATAAAAATCAACAAACAAGTTAAAAGGATAAACAGGCACCAACAAAATGGTACAACTCAAAGAAATGCAACAAGAATGCAGTTTGGATTAAGGAGGTGAATAAGAGTAAAAAACAAGCTTAAATAAAAGAACTTATAATAATACCCTGCAAAGTAATGGGCAAAGAGGCACGATCAGAAATGATCATCAGCACCAAGTGTAGATGAACTGTGACTAAAATCCAAACTCATTTGAGGAAGGCAATTAAGACTTGGGCAATTCCAGTCATTGAATACATAGCTGGAATGGTAGACTGGATTCAAAGTAGAACTAAAAGTCCTGGATAGGAAAACCAGAGAAATAATGACCGTGAATAATGCCCTTCATCCCTTCAGCAGTATTGACAGACTCTACGAAGGAAAATAAGTGGGTATGGGACGTTGCAAGTACATCAGGCAGTTGAACATTACTAAAATACATCAGAGTACATTTAATATAACTGGATTTCTGTGAACATAGTCTGGAAATAAGCTCTAAAGAAAATTCAAATGTTTTGGTAAGTGTTTTTGTTTTTGCATTTCTGTTATAATATGCATTCTATCATGGTAACCAGGTAAAAGAATGGTAATGCAAAAAACAATCACTGCAACTTGAATAGTGTATTAACTCATTTTTTATTTTGAATTGCAGTGTCTTTCAAAGTCAAAACTTTTGTGTAATAAACTTCTTTTAAATTTGGAGCAATGTAGAATTTTTTAAAGCCTAAATTAATGGTGGGAAATTAAAACAATGAAATACCCTGGGCTCAACAGTTGAACATTTTTTTTCTATTCTGTATTTTGGTATTTTATTATTTATTAGATTTCTGTGCTGCCAAATCTATTATTGTCCTTACCTAGGGCATAGAGCCTGGTTACTTGAAGGATCCCCAACTCCTGTACTATCTGTCTGGCCATTAAATTGGACATAGTTGATGTGTTCTGGGTCTCTTCAGTTAGAAACCTGCCTTCAGTATTGTATGCCTGCACTCTGGAATGAGATTTCTCCTGAAATCTGTGTGACTCCAATCCTGCTGGCATTCTGAAAAGGCTTAAAGGCCTGGCTTTTCTCCCAGATCTTGGGTTAGGATGGTTGCTTATTTCTCTTTTTTCATAATTATAGTAGTGTATTTTTATTCTGTTATTTCATTCTACATTGCCCATGGTACATTTGGAGTCAAATGGTGCCTAAATTGAATAATTTGCTTCCTAATTCACTTCAGTAATTCGAATTAATGAGCATGTAAGGGAGACCTGTTTCTTTCCATACTACTAAGTGAGTATTGTTTGATATTTTCTTTGAATATAGAGTTAGAAACTATCAGAGCAGCTCAATATTATTTCCAGCACCAACAGTGAACAGTCATTTAACAGATTTTTTTTTATTAGTGGCACAATATTAAGAATCTTTGAGCTGCTTGTTCAGAGCTCCTTCTAGAGTTTCAGGTGGTAAGCACTGAGTGAATTGCTATTACTGTGCATGCTCTTGGACTGCACACTGTTTTATCTTCCTAAGTGATGACCTGCAGGGCTGGCCTCTTGTCAGAACGCTAACGTCTCTCCCTGGAGTGAACACACACTCTCTGTCACAATATTTACCTAGTGTGTTTTTCCCCCCACTGGGTGATAAATGGAAGCTTGCAGAGTGGCTTCTCCATCAGCCACCAGGTTTGGATCACTTGCTTGTTTTATGAGACGGCTGATCCCATCGCATTTCTTTTTCCTTCCCACCCCCAGTATTAGAGACGATTAGCCACGTCATTAATTCTTCAAT